CCCACGTGGTGGTTGGCTCTGATAGGGGCTTTAGTCGGGCGAGTGGGAGATTAATTTCACAATATCTCTACGTGTTCAAAAGTAAAAACGTATATTAACTTTACTCATCAGACTGTTATTTTAAATTTGGAAATAAATAGAATTTCATTTATAGAAAAAAAAAACTCAAATTTTAGGAGAGCAGAGTTAATATAAATTACAAAAATTGAAATATTTTCTACCCAGGGCATTCAGTTATTCGCAAAGGCTAAAAGGCAAATTAGGTCCTCCATACTCAAATTGGTCTCCCTACTAGGTATTTTCTCAACTCGGTCTCTATACTAGGGCTTTGTATTCAAATTAGTCCCCCTACTTGACATTTTCTCAACAAATTGGCTCCACTAATACTCAGATGTGTCACGTTTGATGTAACAACGTCAGCTTTGGGGTGTTTTCTTCGAAAGTCATCCAAGGTTTATTGTGATTTTGAAAGTTATTAGGGGCTCAGCGTGATTTTTGAAAGTTATTGGAGGTTTAGCGTGATTTTTTAAAGTTCCTAGAGTGGTTTAATGTAATGTTAAAAGTTATTGGAAGTTTACTGTAAAACAATGAAGGTTACAATAGAGGAGAACCAATTTGGGTATGAAGTCGCGATAGAGCCTATCCAATTGGGCTTGAGGCCCGGGTCGGTGCCCAGACCTAACCCGACCGGGCCGAGGTTTGGCCTAGAAACCTGAGCCAAATCGAGTTCTGGGCCCGAGCCCGGGCCGTTTTGTCGGCGCCGAGCTCATTGAGACTACCGAGATCCCTCTCTAGCTCATAGATTGCCGGCCCAATTGATTGGTTGGGGGGTCCCAGTTATCTCACCCAAGACCGGCAAACTGGCGAACCCGACTGCGCTCAAGTTGCAGGTGATGCAAATGATCGAAGTTTTTTCTTTTGTTTTATGTTTTAGGTCTGAGTTGCTCATATTAGGGGAAGAAATTGAATTCTAGAATTTAAATTTCGATGTTTCCCAAACGAATGAATTGAATTTGAAATTTTAGATTTCAAATTTCAGAATTCAATTCTGGAATTTGAAATCAAATCCTCAAATCCAAACGCAACCCTATTCAAATTGGAATATTCTTAGAATGTTTCAATTTGGAGAGTGAAATTTAGAGATTTGCTCTAACCCACACTCTCTAAACATTTTTCTTTTTATTTGTTTTTTGTTAAAAAAGCCATATAAATTAATAATGTTGAATATATGTTACATTAATAATTTTATTTTTAATAATTTATTTGGAAAAAATAATAACTTTAGAAAGGTGTCGATGAGAGCTTTTAAAATGAACCTAATATTAATAATACAATAAAACATATTAAAAAAATAAAATCTGAAATAACAAGGACAAAGCATACAACGATAAAACGAGGAAGCAAACATAAACCTCCAGTATAACATACCATAGGCCCAACAATACTCGGGACAGTAATTGAGACGTCACATAGGCCCAACAATGATTCTCGAGGCAGTAGCCTCTCATATGACTTATGGATATGACATGTTTTTTTGGATTACTAGCTAGGATGTAATAATGATATTAACGTATTTGCAATCTTCAAATTTGTTTGACCAACTAGCACAAGGTATTTCCTCTGCTGTTAATTATAGTATTTTGGGAAAGAATTATGATATAGGTTCTTGATTGGCCGATTGGATATACCATAAATGGTCTACTCTTGTACAAACAATACCCCAACCACAAGGGCCTAAGAAGCAGCTCTTTGTTACTATGCAAGAAGGATATCGAAAAGATGTAGAGAGGGCTTTTGGTGTTCTTCAGTCATGATTTGCCATTATCAAGAGATCATCACGTTCTTGGGACAAGAGGGGACTACACGACATAATGACTGCTTGTATTATACTACATAACATGACTATGGAGGATGAACACGATGCAGAACTAGAGATTATTGTTCACGATGAATCTTCAAGACCTGAAGAGATGGAGATTGATGATGCCGAACGATTCCTTGATCGACATAGGAGGATTCAAGATAGGGAAGCTCATTTTATGTTTCGAAATGCGCTAATCGAACTTTTATGGCAGAGGCACGACAACGAAGGAATGTAATTTAAATATTGTAATTTATGCTTGTATTTTATTATGGGGCAAGTTAAATAAATCTCTGTATTTAAATTTTCATGTCTAATACTTATTTATTTAATTTAAAAAATAATAGTTTTATAATAATGCTAAAATAAATTAATCTTAGTTTTATTTTGAAAATCTCGACGAGACCTTTCCAAATATATAATTATTTTAAAAATTAGATTAATAATTTTTAACTATATTTATTTGAAATTAAACATCTAATATAAATTACTAAGAATGATGACAAAGTGGTAATTTTTAAGAAATTAAATAGTTAAAAGTAAAAGTTATAAATAATAAAAGTTTAAATAGTGATTTGGAGAGCCTCTCCAAATTCTAGCTTCAATCTTCAAATTTGGAGAGTGAATCATCTCCAGATCTCCAAATTTTGAGAGTGATTAGAGAGGATTCACTCTCCAAATTTGGAGGGATGGAGATTTTGTCGAGTGATTGGAGATGCTCTTAGTTGGGTGAGTGGGAGATTAATTTCACAATACCTCTATGTGTCCAAAATTTAAAACGTATATAAACTTTACTCATCAGACTGTTATTTTAAATTTGCAAATAAATAAAAATCATTTATAGGAAAAAAAAAACTCAAATTTTAGGAGAGCAGAGTAAATATAAATTACAAAATTGAAATATTTTCTACCTAGGGCATTTAGTTATTCAGAAAGGCTAAAAGGCCAATTAGGTCCTCCATATTCAAATTGGTCCCTCTACTATATATTTGTTAGCGTCTGTGGCTAAACCTGTAATAAAATAGTGAGAACTAAAATGCTATAATTTAAAACTTTTTTCTAGTTTAGCTGTTGTGCGTTTATGAAACACTGTGCTTAAAACACTATTTGACCTACTCCGGTGCAAGGATCCCAAGACCAAACTGCTTTCAGAAACAATAGTACAATAATCTGGTGTGCATCGATCCAATACTGTTAAGATCTCCTCGATCTATATGACCTTTCGATCAAGATAAAGATCTCCTCGATCTGTTAAAACCTTTCGGTTCAATAACCTTTCGGTTCAAGCAGAGATCTCCTCGGCCTGTTAAAATCTTTTGGTTCAATAACCTTAGAGTCCTAGAGTGGTTTAATGTGATGTTAAAAGTTATTGGAAGTTTACTGCAAAACACTGAAAGTTACAATAAAGTAGAAGCAATTTGGGTATGAAGCGCCGATAGAGGGGCTACATTTATCAAAAATAAAGTAAGGGGACCCATTTGAGGATGGAGCCTCTACACAGGACCAAGTTGAGGAAAATAAAGTTTGGTTTTCAAATCATTCATAAAGTACGCTGCCACATATGGACTGACTAACTATAATGAACTAGGAGAACACTGTATGTTTGTGCTTGTGTTCGTCTTTCATAAATAAAGATAAATTTATTAGTACACTTATGAATGTCTGAATTTTGGGAGAGACAGATGTATGGTAATAATGAGAGTGGGTGAATGCAATAAAAAAAAAAGCATTTGGGCAATGCCCAGTGGGTTCCATTGAGAAAACTAAGAGAGAAGGAAGGATTTTTAAGGAAGAAAACACATAGTGCCCATATTAACGTCACCGTGAGTATGTGACATTGTCAAAATAATGAGTTATGGAGCTTTGTCGTGAAAATTAGGCTCGGGTTGAAAACTAGGTTGTTCTTAAAGTCTCTCTAACCATTACACTAGAAATTTAAAGTTACGATAAGAGTTGAGATTTATATTTTCATGTTATAACATGTCCGTGCAATTTGAGCGTCCTTTTTCTAGGCTGAAAATATGAGTCACATAACGGCATCAATTTTTTAAATATATGTTTTAAAGTTATGGCTGCTGGAACTCAGATGAATGTTGATCTGATTCCATCTTGAAGTCCTAACCGTTATATCAAAACTCTGAATTTATGATGAGAGTTGAGGTTTATATTTTTATTTTCTAGCAGTTGTTGGAAATGTAATAATAATTTTCAATCTTTATCACCTTTAGTGTAAACTAAACTCATGTAAATTTGTCTGATGGAAAAATTAGTGATCATTATTATCAACTGCTACTACTGTCTTGTAGTGAAAACGCTGGAACTGCCTGAAACTAGCTTTATTTTGTGTATTTTCCGGCAGGCCTCCTTCTTTCTCTTGGATGAGTATAATTGCTGTTTTCTTGTGTTAGATTAAGGGAGGGGGTCAGCTTGCAAGACCTGTAATGCATTATTTCTATTTATTTTTGTGGAAGGGTTTTATATTCAAACAGTTTTTGCGAACTTTACTTCACAGGTGTTGATATCTTTTTGCTTGCGTGCGTCTATGCATTGCTTGGATGTCCTCTTTCTTATGCGCTCTGGTATAGACTTCTATGTTCTGCTACGAGGTAATTTCTTTATGCCTATTTTCTGTAGTTCAGATGGCTGTTACCTTCCAGTTCCGTTGTTAGTGCATAATTCCCAAATCTTTCATTGTGGTAGTGGTTAAAGTACAATAAGGTTTTTAAGCATATTTATCTAAAATGATATAAGTACAATACTTTTTTGAGGGAGTTTAACAAAGGTTTAAAGGGAAATAAGGTATTTTGTTTTTGTTTTTTCTTTTTTTTTTGTTTCTTTGTTTTCTGATAATGAGGCGACCAGGAATCGAACCCGATATAGTGGGAGCTATATTGGAACCTCCCACCCATCTGGGTCATCAACAATGCTCAGATTTTTGTTGGTTTGAGAAAATATAATAATATATTAGTGGGTCCCACCATAAGAGTATTTTAGGGATTTAGCATATTATTTAGTTTAACATGATATAGATGCAAAATTATTAATTGGTGGCACTTGTTATGGATGCATATTTTCA